ACAACACCTGTTAAATTAACTTAAATATCAATATATTAAGAGTACGAATTAATGCCAACTAAAAAGAAATAGACTATAATATAATGAAAATGAAAGATAAGTGTGGGGTCTGAATTATAAATGATTGAAGTAAAACGGGCCAGAGTTGAACTTGGGTTGCACGTGGAGCAATCTTTGTCCCAAATCACTACTTTGCTTCTTTGTTCCTTTCCTCTTCATTTTCAGCCAATAAATGATAATTCAGTAGTACTAATACTTTTTGGTCTTCTCTTCAAAGTGTATACGGATTCAGAAATTTGAAAATTAAGAGTACTTACAATTATTACCGACAAAAATTATTGAATTCGTGTGAAACCATAAGTTATATAGTAGATTTATCTCTCCTGATAAAAAACAGAGGCAGATTCAGTGTATTGACATCGAATTTATCTGAATTCAGTACTTTTGATATAGAAAATAAATTTACGTCTAAAAATTTACTAAAATACAACAAATAGTATATATGAATCCATAATTTTAAAAGTACGATGAGTTCATTGTTAAGAACCTTCAAATTTGAACCCATAGAGCTTGAATTCTGGATTCACCTATGATTCATTGATCATAAGAGCTATATATCCCAAATTTTGAACTTAGCCATCGCACAATAATACTACAGTCAGACCTCTCTATAACAGTATCTCTATATAACAATCATTCACTATAACAGCAAAGCTTTTCTTGGAATCAATTTCTATATTATATGTTATAATGTATATTGTTATTACTTTGTATTCAAAACTAGTAAATCAATAAACGTTAGTTTAAAGAAAAAAATGAAGCAGAAAAAATTCCGAGCCCATAAGTTTCTTGTGTTTCCTTAAGGAATTTAATCCCCTTACAATGCCCAAGGTTGCAGATTAATTCCTCCTAGGATAGAACGGAATAACTATTCTGTGATAGCGGCACTTCAAATTACAGAATTTCGGCGAACTCAAATAGCGGAGCAAATCACATAAAATGCTTACGTTTTGCTTTTTGAAAAACCAATGCAGTATGCAGAAAATTGAGGGGAGTGATTTCAGATTTTACAGTGATGAAAAATGAGGCTAAGCCTCTCTATTTATACACAATGAAAGGGTGAGATGAAGAGGTGCAATCCAAGAGGTGCCTCTTCCATTTCCCATAAACACCCCCAATGAAAGGGTGAGATGAAGAGGTGCAATCCAAGAGGTGCCTCTTCCATTTCTCATTCACACTCCTTAATAAAAATGCAACAATCCCCCACATGAATAGGGAATGGACATATGTGAAAAAACATGCATGAAAATACTATGTGATTTTGCAATTAAGGATTAATCGCATCTGGATAAGTAGGTTTCCCTTTGAACTTTCCTTAGTGAGCTTATGTCGGATATACTTGGTCAATCGATAAATTTGATATCTTTGAACCGTCGAACTTTGGTGTATACCTAGACAATCATAAGTCACACAATCAACCTTTAACCGTCTTTGGTTCTCATTGTTGTGTTCGTTTCAACCATGAACACCACATGGTTCATAAATGCGTAGAGAACTGGCCTTACAGAACTCTCCTTGAAGCGGCTTACACTTCACACTTACATAGGTGATTTCTAAGCGTGTTATCCCGTAGATACACTATTTGATATACCCCGCATCAAATTTAGAAACCATTAAAAAGCCTTAACGCTTTATCCTTGGTACTGAACATTGTCTCATCACGAGAATGGACCAAAAAGAAATTTTATTTGACAATGTTGAACCGTCATTAATGACTTTGTTTGGTCTCCTTGAACCTAGATCTTGGGATCTCCAGTATTCTAGGTAGAGTTACTGCCACAGTGACTTATCCTCGGCCATAATCCCATTCCCGTTGATGTCTTCTCAACTGCCTCTCTAGGTAGGCCTTTTGTAAGCGGATCCGATACACTATCTTTTGACTTTATATAGTCAATTGTGATAATTCCACTAGAGAGTAGTTGTCTAACGGTATTATGCCTTCGTCGAATGTGACGAGATTTCCCGTTATACATAACTCTCCCAGCCCTTCCTATTGCTGCTTGACTGTCGCAATGTATGCATACAGGTTCCACAGGTTTGGTCCAAAATGGAATGTCTTCTAAGAAATTCCGGAGCCATTCAACTTCTTCACCGGCCTTGTCTAAAGCTATAAACTCAGAATCCATTGTAGAGCGGGCGATGCATGTCTGTTTGGACGACTTCCAAGACACTGCTCCTCCACCAATGGTAAAAACGTATCCACTTGTGAATTTTGATTTTGTTGATCCGGTGATTCAATTTGCATCACTATATCCCTCAACAGCTGCGGGATAATTATTGTAATGCAATGCATAGTCTTGGGTATATTTCAAATATCCCAAAACTTATTTCATTGCTATCCAATGAGCTTGGTTGGGATTACTTGTGTATCGATTAAGCTTACTTATCGCACAAGCTATATCAGGTCGTGTATAATTCATAATGTACATTATACTTACCAACACTCAAGCATATTCCAATTGAGACTTGCTTTGACCTTTATTCTTTACAAGAGTATAGTTTAAATCAATTGGCGTTTTTGCTTCTTTAAAGTCCAAATATTTGAACTTTCAAGTACCATTTTAATATAATGAGATTGAGATAAATCTAGACCTTGAGGAGTTTGAAGGATCTTAATTCCCAAAATTAAATCGGCAATTCCTAAGTCTTATATCAAACTTACTAGTAAGCATGCGCTTAGTAGCATTTATGTTAGCAATGTCGTTACTCATTATCAACATATCATCCACGTATAAACAAACAATGACTATTTGATTTGGAGTATTCTTAATGTAAACACATTTGTCATACTCATTGATCTTGAAACCATTTGACAACATTTTTTGGTCAAATTTCGCATGCCATTATTTTGGTGCTTGTTTTATTCTGTAAAGTGAGTTAACAAGTCGACACACCTTTTTTTTTTTTTCGGGAACTACAAACCCTTCAGGTTGTTCCATATAGATTTCTTCCTCTAAATCTCTATTTAAGAAGGCTGTCTTTACATCCATATGATGGATTTGAAGGCCAGACACGGCGGCTAATGCTATTAACACCCGGATAGATGTAATCCTTGTTACCGGTGAGTATGTGTCAAAGTAATCAAGACCTTCTCGTTGTCTAAACCCTTTAACAACTAATCTTGCCTTATATTTGTCAATAGTACCATCATCTTTCATTTTCCTTTTGAAAATCAATTTATAACCCAAAGGTTTATTTTTCGGAGGAAGATCAACCAATTCCCAAGTATGATTACTTAATATGGATTCTATCTCACTACTGACTGACTCTTTCCAATATTGTGCTTCCGAGGAAGATATTGCTTCTTTTAATGTTTGAGGCTCATTTTCCAACAAAAATGTCAGAAAGTCTAGTCCAAAGGAAGTAGTTGTCCTTTGACGTTTACTACGTCTTGAATTTTCCTCATTAAACGTACTTTCATTTTCTTCTTCTCGAGGTCGCTTAGATTTTTCACTAGACGACTCACATTTATTTTTATACGGATAAATATTCTCAAAGAATTCAGTATTATCGGATTCGATTACCGTATTAATATGAATGTCGGGATTTTCTGATTTATGAACCAGAAAACGATATGTTTTACTATTTCTTGCATATCCTATGAAAACGTAATCAACTATTTTCGGTCCAATCTTCACCCTTTTGGGTTTAGAAATTTGCACTTTATCCAAACACCCTCACACTTTAAAATATTTTAAGTTGAGTTTCCTACCTTTCCATTTTTCATATGGAATAGATTGTATTTTGTTATGGGAAACTCGGTTGAGTATTTGATTCGCTGTAAGAATAGCTTCCCCCCCCCCCCC